AATATTGTCCATTTTTTACTGTGTTTCTAACAATAAAAACTTTATCCCAAAATATCTCGATAACGCTCTTACAGATTTCGCTTAAACTTCACGAACATCGAGGCTGCTATTGGACGAATAAGCTCCCGTGAATGATTTTCGAAGAACAGTTCCCAGTGCCGAGATATACTGCTGCAAGTAAAATAGGTAATAGCGTCATTTCGTTGCTATGACAACGCCGATGCCGTTGCAACCTTGATCATAACAAATTTTCATCTTTATCTAATACAACTGTGGTGGCAATTTTTCCAAAACTTCGATTTTGGCGACGTAGTTTATGCTCAAACTTGGGAGGTATTGACCCTGAAAAACTGTATCGAGTCACCTTAATTCATAATAATTACCAAGCCAAAATACGTGTTTTGCTCCAGGAAACTTCTAACGTGTTCTAAAGTAACTAGACCTCTTATTGAGTCTCATTTTACAGCTCTAGTGATCCCTTCAGAACTTCAAACCTCTAAAACAGTTGAAACAGCTGTTTTCTTTTTTCACTTTAATTACATTCTTTCTTAATTTACTAATTAATTACATAACTATAATCACTGTAAATCGTAGTATTTTTTTTTTCAACTGTAAAGGTCAAGAACCAATCAACACATGTTCGGGAGCGATACATTTTTAAATAAGTGTTGTAGTTATCAGTTAAGATAAGGAGTAATTTCAAACTAGTCATTTTAACAATATGACTAGTAGTGCATAAGGGTTTCTTTTCATGTATGTTACACTTGCAAGCTTAGAAAAAAAGGAAGGGCACAAACTTTCTTGATTTCTCTCAGATAATGACAAATTGGACTACTTTTGGGCTTAACTCTTGTTCTAAACATAAATCTTCAAAGGCTAAAAACTCTTTAAATGCTAAAAATCCAACACTAACCTTCCAGAAGCTCGCAACATGTGACCGTTTCGAAATCAGTTGAGTAGAGCTTTCAGCAACTTTACGTCAACTGGCAAAGCCTTCCAGCTGTTAACACAGAAACTGTGACCATAGGCTTTTTCTCCACGGTACTTCGCTCAGGATAGGGTATTTTGATTGATGACTTCGGTGAATCAGAAGATGCAAAAGCTAAAATCTTGAGTGACGCTCGATTAGACACAGAGAAAGACTCGCCATTACATTGCTCAAACCGTACAGTCGAGAAGAGATTTGAGCAACTTTACGACGAGTGATAAAGCCTTCCAGCAATCAACACTTTAAACTGTGACTATCAGCTTTTTCTCCATTCTATTCCACTCAGGATAGGCTATTTTGTTTGACAATCTCGGTAAATCAGAAGCTACAACAGCCAACCCTTTGAGCGGACACTCGTTTTGAAACAGCGAAAGACTCGCCATGACAGGACAGTTGGGTAGAGCTTTCAGCAACTTTACGTCCAGTGATAACGCCTTCAAGCAGTTGACACTTTAAACTATGACCACCGGCGTTTTGCTCATTCCATTCCGCTCAGGATAGGCAATTTTGATTGATGACTTCGATGAATCAGAAGCCGCAAAAGCCAAACTCTTGAGTGACGCTCGATTACAAAGAGCGAAAGCCTCGCCATGACATTCCTCAAAACCAGGCAGTTGAGTAGAAGTTTTTGCAACTTTACGGGGCGTGATACAGCCTTCCAGCGGTGAACACTTTAAACTGTGGCCATCGGCGTTTTCCCCATTCTTTTCCGCTCAGGAAATTATATTTTGTTTGATGACTTCTCTAAATCAGACGCCGCAAAAGCCGCAAAACGTTAACGACACTCGTTTTGAAACATCGTAAGACTGGCCATGACATTCCCCGCAGTTGCATGATATTTATCGTTAAAATGATACTAAAACTTCTTTGTTTGGTCATGACATTTGCTTGAAAGGCCGGCTAGATACCTTCTCAACATTCTCAGCATTCAAGATACATAATTCCGTTAGCCTGTGGGTTAAAATAACGAGGAAACCAAATGGCATCGGGCGTCCATCTTGGTGCTTCGCGCGAAAACAGAGCAGCAAGTCTGCAACCGGATGTGATGTCATAAATCGGTGGATCATAGGTACACGAAACAAGTACTAGGCGCACTAGGCGCAACACCGCGGCAAAACGTCTACGCATGCGCTAGGTTGAGCATTTCCGGTCTCTTTTTCAGTCACACTTTCCAGTCAGATCAAAGTCTCCCGCGCGCTCTCGGCTTCATTCTGTGTGCAGCTTGTGGTTCAGTTGTTCTGCTTTATGCTGCTCGTGTCTTTGACTATTTTGTAGTTATTGAAATTGCTTTTATGGATAACCAGGCACAGATCACTGAAACAATTAGTCGATTAGATTCAGAAAAGGTAAGATGATAATAACTCAGCGTGTAATTTTGCAATTTTCTGCAATTTTGGCTAGAGCGTCAGGTAAACTGATTTTCATTCACGAAAATAAAGTTTTTGACTGTTATTTTTCACTTAACCTGGCTGAAACTAAGACACAAAATTAAAACGTTATCATTGCAAGCTTGTGTATTGTAGTTCTAATTTTCAGTTCATCAGTTTCTCAGTCTACATGTGTTAAAGCCGATTCAAACTTTATTTGGAAAACGACAACACACAATCGCTTTGTAGTTTTGTTTACCAGTGGGTTTTACCGTGTTTTAAAACGAAACTCTTCTGGGTTGATTGCCATGAAACATAAGCTTAATTATACTGTTGAGCCGGTTGGCAGCAAGTTGACAACTCTATTTATTTATTTTTTCATGCTCAGAATCAGAGAGCGAAAGCTGGTTCAGTGGCTTTTAGAAGTCGAACTTTTCATGCCATGTATTTAGCAGCTAGAAGTTTCGTGTTTACATGAGATGCAGCCGAGCCGCACAGTCTGAAATTATTGAAGTCTTCAACAAAAGAACAACCATGTAAAAGAATTAAATAGGCATTTTCTTGAACGAAAGTCATTTATGGGCATGTTTAGTTTCCCGGTGACTGCAGTTATCAAAGTCAAAGTTGTTATTAAATCCCGCCCATCTTTTGTTTTGAGTTCTTGTTTTCTCTGATAATAAAACAAATTATTGAACGGACTAGAATTTTATTTCCTGGTTTTAGTGTTTTTATGATAATGATGACGTCTTTATTTTGGTTTCTTTCATAAGCATTGTTATTCTTTTCTTAGTTGTCGCCTTCTCCCAAATTAACTTATGCCAAACCAGTAGCATGCAAGAAAGCCTGTAAAAACAAATTCGTCATGTCGAGCGCTCGCGACCCGCAAACTTCAAACATCATTTTCACCGTTGGTGCAAACAGATAACCATGTGGTGCAAAAGTTTGAGAATAGAAAAATATATAAGCTTTCAAATGAAGTGATTTTTTTGGCCCCCTTTTTTGTCTGTTTCGCCCTTTTTGCTTTTAAACTTGGCGCGACGGCAAAGTTATGCTTACGCTATTGGTTTATATACTAGACCGGAAATGAAAAGCTGACCGGATATTAAATTTTGTGCTCATGCGCATTGCGTTTTGCCGCGGTGTTACTAGGCGCTATTGGAGTCGTGCCCCCCCTGGCTCCCCTATATAACTTTAATAAGTTAGACTAACGTTTTCAGGTGGTGTCGAAAAAAAAGTCTATTTGATATTATTTATAAGTATGTGCAGGGACACAAACTTTTCGAAGAAATCTATGCTGCCAGTCTTTTTTATCTCTCGACGTGAAAGAAACGCAAAACATCAATGTAAAAATCTTCATTGATGTTATGACGTCTCCTGCGTTCGTTTGGCGACCTGGCAGCTGCAAATAATGGAATGACATCGCGCTACAAAGTCTTCTGCAGAGTGGTTTTGGAGAGGATTAAAATGGGACTGGATGTATAATGATATCCAAAATTAAGTATCGGCAATAACCGTCCTCTAAAAACATCATGCCACTGATAATAGACATTAAGTTATCATAAATTATTTAATGCTTATTATTCATTACTGAATATTTAAGTAACTTGTATTGGCTACTCCCGGCCTTTCCCGCTCTTCGTGGTTGTCTCACAAGGGTCCATTCTAGAACCAGTCGTATTTATGCTTAGTTAAGGACCTCTCTTAGTCCGTAAACACTAGTTAAAACTTAAGATGGTGTATGATCGTCTCAGTGGTAATTGCAATTTAAGGTATTGCAAATTAAGTCAATTAACCAGAAAAAATTTCGGGACTTCAACGGCATTCGAACCCATGGCCTCTCCGTTTTAGCGCTGCAGTACACTGCAGTGCTCTTATACCATTTGAGCTATGAAGACCCATACATTGGAAGCAGGCCAATTTGTTGCGTTCATTTTAAACCGTGAAGGAATAAACACGAAGATGATGTGAGCTGCGGAAATACAAATTTAAATGAAGATTTGAGCTTCGCTGTGGTAATTGCAATTTAAGTAATTGCAAGTTAACCGCAGCGCTAACGCAGAGGCCATGGGTTCGAATCCCGTTGAAGTCCCGAATTTTTTTTTCTGGTACCCGGGTGAATTTGCAATTACCACTGCGACAATCATATCTTCATTCAAATTCATATTTCCGCAGTTCATGTCATCTTCGTGTTTCATTCCTTTCACGGGTTAAGATGAGCTCGACATATTAGCCTGCACCCAATGTATGGGTCTTCATAGCTAAATCGATAGAACACTGCAGCGCCAACGTAGAGGCCATGGGTTCGGATCCCCTTGAAGTCCTGCAATGTTTTTCGGGTTAATTTGCAATTGCTTAAATTGCAGTTACCAGTGCGGCGATCATATCCTCATTTAAACTAGTTAACACTGTCAAGCGGCAGGGCTATCAGCTTTTATAGACAACACTTAAACCCTCCTGGCATTTCAGAAAAAAAAAGAGAATTTTTAAAATGGATACAGCTGCTTTACCAAATCAGGCTCTTAAACTTCGATCTGAATTACTATCATTGATCCGGGATCCAACGAAATGGTTTCCAGATTAAAATATAAATGTTTGTTAACTAAAATTATTCTTTATTTTAACAGCAGATTTAATTCTACGCTGAG